CTCTCTCTCTCTCTCTCTCTCTCTCTCTCTCTCTCTCTCTCTCTCTCTCTCCCTCTGGGAGAATAAACTAACTATAGATCTAGTAACACTAGATAGACATACCGCCCGAGATTATTTTCACTGTTATATAGGCATAGAGTATTATAATGTAATAATAAGGGGCGGTTCGTTAACTGCGCAAGACGGCGTAACCGGCCACTTTTTATTGGCTGGGCAGTAAACAAGAGCTTTGTTGCTATTAATAATTTTCATTCAGTTTCAAATAAATCTAATTAATATTTATTGTCAACATTCAAAAACGGCATCAATATTATTTCTACTGAATATCTTAATTGTATTTAAATTCTTCAACATCATGCAAATATGTAGATGTTTTAGGGCTCAGTATGCAATTGTTGTGTGTGTGTGTGTGTGTGTGTGTGTGTGTGTGTGTGTGTGTGTGTGTGTGAGTTTTAGTAAGGTTTAAGAGCGCTCGCAACTGCTTAAGGTCATATGAGCGCCAAGGGGGTGGATGTCAACAGAGAAGTCCAAATGGGGAATCAGGCTTACTCTGCTCACCTCTCTAGCCACAACAGCACATACTTCAGGCATCCTAGAAATGGAAGTCCACTAGAGAGTGACAAACATAAAAAAGAAGTAGAGGAAAAATGACGATAGTAAGGATGAGGAAAGAAAAAGCAGTAGTTACCCCTGTTTCTCAATCCAAATGGTTTGAATGAGGGCCAGATTTTTTCCTTCATGGAGGGGCAAAAGCTAGGCTACCATTTTGGAACACTTTGGATAAGTGAAAAGGTCAAATCCTCCGTAAGGATATTCCAGTCCGGGTCAAATTTGGTGTATATTAACTCTTCTTAGTGTACGCAAGGCTATTCCGCCTTTTAAACTTAAACAACCATGTTTGTTATCCAATTTTGCAGTACCATAAACTTCTCAGAACTCCTTCACCTGTGTGTATCAAATAAGACAAAAGTGAGCAGAGATGAAAACTCCATTCAATGGATGTACAATTTGGTTATAAAACAGATGAATTCGGTTTGTTTTTGTTTTAGTTGAGGTTAAACGGCGCTCGCAACTGCATAAGGTCATATGAGCGCCAGAAGATTAGAGATATTACAAACATAAAAAAGAAGAAGGGGAGATAAGGACCGTAGAGGTTTCATCGGAAAGAAGAAGCAAACCACACCAGAGCACCTGCCAACCACCCACGGTTAGTTTTACTGCACTTGCATTGCAGAAGGTCGTATAATTTAGTATAAATGCCAGAGATCAGAGTAAAAACATAAAAAGGAGTAGAGATCTAAAGGATGATAGATGTTTGAAAGGAAAGAAGGAGCAAACCACACAAAAAACCATCAACCACTTTGCACCAGTGGTATATATCTATGCAAGACTTACGCTTGAAAATCGCACTTGCATTTGCTCTCAAATATTATTATATTACATGTAGATCTAACCAGCTTCTGCAAGGTCATATAAGCGTAGAAGATTCGAGGAGTTACAAGAGAGTAACAAACACACAAAAAAGGAAATAATGACGACAGATGGGTTTTTTAAAAAGTTTGAGTATGTAATAGTTTTAGGGCACTTGCATGCAACACAATAAAGTCATAAATATAATTTCCAAAGATTAGAGGTGTTACTGTTACCAGAGAGTAGTAACAAACACAGAAAAGACAGACGTTTGATAGGAAAGAAGGCGCAAACCATACCAGAGCACCCACCAAACATCCAATAACCAAGATACTCCTAAAGGAAAATAAAGATCAAGTTGAGTCTCACTTGTTCAAGGGCATCATGCCAATATTTATTCGATAAAAAATATCAAGGTCAGCAACAAACATTCAATGAAGGGTAAAAATCATAAAAATACATGTGGTACATCAGACCACCAAAAGTAACTTTGTCCAAGTCCAGCTCAATTTTTCATGACTAAACCAATACCAACCAATAACTGGGCCATCCATGAACTTCTTCATAGAACTAACCCACCATCGCCAGGCAGGGAAACTACACAGGGGAATTTTTGGTTTTAGGAAGTCTTCTGCCACTGCTGTTACAAACACATCATACACGAGCCCAAGATAAGATGTGTTGTTATTAGAGAGTGACATGCAATCCAAAAAAAAAAGAAGGGAAAGAGATATGGACGATACATATATATACATATTTGATGAAAGAAGGAGCAAACCAAAACAAAGCACCCGCCAACCACCCAGGAACCCATTATCTCGAGAAGGGGAAATAAAAAGAATATTTTTTTAGCAACTGACAAAACATATCACTAGAGACATGAAAGGACTATAATGGAAATTTTTTATTTAACCCTATCCATACACCTGGGGCCATTTTGTACCCCCGGGGTTGCACTCTTCACACTTTAGAATACTTCTAGTGCGAAGATCTCTTTGAAACTTTCAGTATTTCTCAAAAATCGCTTTGACAGACTGCTATACAAAGCGTACGGATCGGATTAACAAGTAAATTTTCTCTTTGGAAAGTGGGGGCACAGAGTTCCCCATGTCGTATGGATACGATAATAAAGCATGACGTACGGATAGGGTTAATGAAGGTTTGGCCCAATCCAACAGCGGAACCTTAGCAAAACACTCTAGTATTTAGCGCTTGTAATAAATCAATTGTGAAATCATATTAAACACCATCTCCAAAGAGGCAGGTGAAACCCAAGAAAACTGTAAACCTTTAAATAAGAAACAGCCACACCCAAAGGTAAACCAACATGTCTTCGATGGCTGGATGCCAGTGTGAGACTCGCACAAAAACACAAAATGGCTTAACAATTCTTGTTGGAGTCTTGCATCAAGCCATCTATCTATTATTTATCATTTGTCAAGATTCTGAAATGCAGACAACACAATAAAATGAACAGGTTTGACATACACATACTGTTGTCCCTATTCTTATATATATGTCAGGCAGTGAGGTGAAATCAGGAACTTGTCAAAATACAGAAATTGGAGAAACAGGCATTTTTCCTAAAGTATGACATTTTTTAATGAATTTTTGTTTTTCGGCTCAATCTCTTTTATGTCCATATATATAAAAACACATTTCCATGTGAATTTTACTGAAAAACATTGATTAAAGGCACAAAATATGTCATTCTTTCTGTTTTCAAGGACTCTTTAGCTATCGGAGTTACCAAACTTTGGCAGCCATTTTTTCACTAATTTCACCACTGAAACCAGGCGACCTCACTTCTTTCAATCGCGAATATCTTGAATTCTATTCAAAATAGATGGATATTTATATCATTGAAAGCAAAGCAAATAAATCAGCTTTCAGATGATACCAATAACTCCACATGTACAAAAATCGACGAGCGCCTGATTCCATCCCGTTGCGACACATATATTGTATTTATACATCATCTCCTGGCATGATGCAGGTTACACACAAACAAGATCCTTGCAGTTTTCACGACTCATTCTCTTGTTTGACACACACACACAACATACAGAATGCTCTCAACTCTTTCAACCCCTCCTTTCTCTCCTGACATCCTATTCTCCACAAAACCTATATATTCCTCAAAACAGCACAACCAGACCACTATTTACAGATCATTTCAATACTCATATGACACACAGTCAAACATTACCAGAGCATTTTCATTTTTTACCCAACACACGTAACACCACATGCAGCCAATTCTTCACATCTTTGTCTATCTCATCTCTCAACAGCCATGCAAAAAATCAACAGATTTAACACACACAGCACCAGGCTCACAGACAAGCATGAAAACATAAGCTCCCCCCAACCAAGAGAGCATCAACATTGGTCTTCCGACTTTGAAAGTAGCCTACAGTATGCGACATGAAAACCCCCCACAACAAATCAACAAACAATTTCAAGAATAATGATCATGCAAACTTTTTTCCTGACATTGTGCTGAAGTATGAGAACTTTTAGCTCTAGAATACTTTGCATGCTTCTATTCTCTTTAGACTAGCAGTTTCACCTCTATAGATGCTGACTGCAGGCGAGAATTTTTAGTTAAAGTAAGAGTTTTACGGCACTTGCAACACAATAAGGTCATATAAGTGCCGAAGAATAGATGTGTTACAAGAGAGTAACTAACATACACAAAAAAGAAAGAGGAGAGATAAGGCCAATAAGTGTTTGATAGGAAAGAAGGAGCAAACCACACCAGAGCACCCGCCTACCACCCACAGGTGAGAATGTGTACAAGTCACATCCAGTAGCACTTAGCATAGTTTTAGTTAGGATGTGTGGCACTAGCAACACAAATCAGTCATACAAATGCCCAAGATAAGAGGAGTAACTAGAGAGTAACAAGGCCTACAGAAATGGAGGGAGTATGGACAATAGTTGTTTGATACGACCATATCAAAGCACCTGCAAACCACCCTCTGCCCTCTGTAACATCAATATATAACTGCACTACAGTACATTTTTGGAGACATGAGTGCTGGGTTGTGGGGTTAAAGTGCGGCTGATGTCAAAATAAGCACACACAGTGAGTGCAGCCTTTTCCAAATAAAGCAGCAGGAATGCTCAGTACATTTCCATGTTTTGACTATTAAAAAGAAAACCCACCGGAGGAATTTCGCATCTTGCTACAAAAAGTCAAATAAGGTATTACTTTTTTTTTTAAGTGTTCATCCAGCAGAACAAAGAGCACGACTTTCTCAACAAGACTCACCATGTAGATCACAGCACAAAAGGTATGTGCCACCTAGATCTACCATTTGAACAGCCTCAGCCAACAATGGGGATAGTTAGTGTTAGTAAGAGTTTTACAGCACTTGCAACACAATAAGGTCATTTAAGTGCCGAAGATTAGAGGTGTTACAAGAGAGAAACAAACACAAAAAGAAGGAGAGACCAGGACGATAGATGTTTGGTAGGAAACAACCACCCACAAAATGGGGATATCCAAAGCTCAGAAACCACAGAACCTGACAAACTGGACTGAAACAAAATAACCCTTCCACTTCGTCAACACCCACCATCGAGTTGTCTATCGTCGAGATCGAAGAATGACAAAGATGACAATGTCAATCTCCCCACAACATAAATCGTGTCAGAGTCTCACACTTGTCAGCACAGAGTGACCAAACAAAGTCCACCCATCTCACACCCGCTCTTGCATTCACGACAAGCCGCAATGATCTACCTATGATGACGTAACGGACGTTCATCGCAGACCCTCTTCCTCCACCCACCCCACCCCCCCCCACAGCTGAAGCTATCTTCCCATCATCACACCACAAAGTTTGTCTACGACGAGGTGGTGGGCGGCTGCTGATAGCTGGCAGAGCCAAAGCCCAGGCCAATGCCTCGGTGCGTGTGAGTGGCCATGCGGGCGTACTGGTACTCCTTGTCCAGCTTGTCAAAGATCTCGCGCTGCTTTTGCTCCTGCTGTTCTTCAATCACCTGCACAAGACAAAACGGAAAACAAGGTCAACAAATGTCATATATCTCAAACGAACCCTGCACTGGAGGGTCAAGCTGAGCTAAACCAAGTCTTATTTACTGTGGGGGGTTTTTTTGTTGGTTTTTGTCCCTTTTTTTAGGAAAAGGAGAGAAGAGGAAGAGAAGGACAGAGACAAAAAAGTAGAGAAGGAAAAGGAGAGTTAAGTTTTAGTAAGTGTTTTAAGGCACTTGCGACACAATAAGGTCATATCGGTGCCGAAGATTAGAGGTGTTACAAGAGAGTAACAAACACAAAAAAAGAGGAGGAGGAGGAGGAGGAGAAGATGAAGAAAAAGAAGAACAAGAACAAGAAGGAGAAGAAGAAGAAGAAGAAGAAGAAGAAGAAGAAGAAGAAGAAGAAGAAGAAGAACCAAGTCAGAACATAACTGTGGATATGTTGCCACACAGACACTAACCTTCTCTGACTCAGAGCCATCCTTGTCCCCAGACTCCTGCCGGATGCCCATCAACTTGCGGAATTTCTCCTTGGACTTGTCATCATGATCGCTTGAGAGCGTCGTTGCATGCCACTGAGACACTACCTCCTGAAACACACAAATTTTAAAGTTTAAAAACTTCTGTGCCTCTGTACAAATAATAGCATTAATACTTCTTTTTTTCTTCACATAGTAGAGGGTTTTACAGCGCTCGCAACTGCATAAGGTAAAATGAGCGCCAAGGGGTGGGTATCAACAGAGGTCTTTACAGGGAATCAGACTTATTCATCTCACCTCTCTAGCTTCAACAGCACAAGGTCTGCTTCGACGATCAAAGCACCCCGGAAATAGCAAGTCACAAGAGAGTGACAAACATACAAAAGAAGAAGAGGAAAAATGACAATAGTAAGGATTAAGAAAGAAAAAACAGCAGTTCCCTGTTGTATATCAGGCACATTTATGAGCATGACATGAATCAGCCCTTTTACAATTCTACTGAGCTTGAACAAGAAATGTCCCCCATTTGGAAATGGCCTAAAGACACTTCAGTCAGTGGCACTGCCCCGGGGGGTATTAATACTTCATTCATCAACAACTAATGATGACCATTTAACATGCACGGAGGACAAGAAGTTGTAGACCCTGCTAGCTGCTGCAGGGGAGCTTATAAGGTTACGAGACAAAAAGTAAAGGAAATTAAAGCAAGCAACTTGTAGTTATCACAAGCGTCACAACTTGCCCCAGACAGCAGTGATGGGCTTATCTGCCTAAACATAATATGTGAACTTTTGGTTAGTGATGGGTTCAAATTCTTGTGGCTCCCATTAAAACTTCTAAGAGGTAAAATCTGTTAAAACATCACTCTGATTCAGAAGTTTTTAGTTAATTCATCATTGGGAAACCTGAAGTACATCTTTTGTCGAATAAAAATCGTATTAAAGTCTACAGCAGCTGCTAACTGAAGACTAATATTTAACTTTATAATTTTTTCCAAATCTCTGAGACTACATTTTCTTTCTTAAAAAAAAAGTTTTTCAGTAAAAAATACTAGTGCTGTTGCAATAGAAAATATGGTTCCCAACACTTCTGATAAATGGACATTAATAATTTTCCCCTGCACCAAAAGGTTTCTCTTTGCAGACCGGAGTTGGTCAGTAGAGACTTTCCGCTGCGTATTATGTTGTGACCTATAGGTTGTGAATTAAAGAATAGAAGTGTCCTTTTCTATCTTCAAATTCTTTTCTTGTGAATCAGGTGAATTCACATTTTGTAGAGGAAAGATTCTGCAAAACATGTAGCAATTCACACAAAATGTCTCCCATCAGAACTTCTTAGAGGTAATTTTTTAACATCGTCATTGCAAAAATAGGAATCCAAAACATTCATCATCGGGAGATTTGTGGCACATTATACACATAAACTTTTGGGTATGGTCCGACAATATTATTTTTTTAAATGAAGAAGCAAGTGAGAGTATGCACACTCATATATATATAAATAAGAGAACTTTTTCTGTGACATGTGAGTTTACATTAGAGAGAAGTGTGTGTCAGAGAGCACTTGCCTTTTGTGAGTTGAAAGGAATATTACCCTTAGGCACAACATTGATTATAATTTATTGTTAAAAACATACAAAATTGATTATGCCCATCTTAGGCAACCTATTAAATGCTTGCAGTTTTACCAAATATTAATAATCATGTACCACTTTCTTCCCAAAGTTTCAGCAAAACATGTAGCAATTCACACAAAATGTCTCCCATCAGAACTTCTTAGAGGTAATTTTTTAACATCGTCATTGCAAAAATAGGAATCCAAAACATTCATCATCGGGAGATTTGTGGCACATTATACACATAAACTTTTGGGTATGGTCCGAACAATTTTTTGTGTTTAAAAATGAAGAAGCAATTGAGAGTATGCACACTCATATATATATATAGAGAGAACATTTTAGGTGACATGCAGGACTCCCATTTCTGTACTATCCGCATGTCTAAAAATATTACGTCAGACATTTTATTTTTTACTTTATTAAGTAGAGGTTTTACGGCGCTCGCAACTGCATAAGGTCATATGAGCGCCAAGTGGTGGATGTCAACAGAGCAGTCTTTACAGGGAATCAGACTTACTCTGTTCACCTCTTTAGCTTTAACAGCACAAAGTCTGTTTTGACTTTCAAGGCACCCCGGAAACAGCGGGTCACAAGAGTGTGACAAATATACAAAAGAAGCAGAGGAAAATGACGATAGTAAGGATTAGGGATAAAAACGCAGCAGTTCCCTGTTGTAATTCAGGCACAGTTATGAGCATGACGTTTGAATCAGCCCATTTACAATTCGACTGTGCATAAGAAAGAGAAATGTCCCCCCCCCCCTTTGGGAATGGCCTAAAGACACTTCAGTCAGGGGCACTGCCCGGGGGGGGAAAGGTCCGACATTATCACATCGTCGCCTCCAAACTATTTTGTCCAAAGTCCTACTTTTCTACTTAAGTACACATTGGACAAAAAAGTTCAGAGGCCACGACATGTATAAAAAAATTACCCCTCCTAAGAGCTTCAGAGAAGTATGCACCCATAGTCTTCTACACTGCCACTCTGAAAACTCATATACAATCAATATTGAGAGACTCTGGACAATCAGTTTTTCGGATCAATCTTTTAATCAATGTTGACAAAGAATCTGACTAAAGATAACAAGTCTGCAGAGCCATAGTATGACGAGAAAGGGAAAGAGGGTGGATAGGGCAAGATGGAGGTAGAAGTCTATAGGCGGCACAAAACTCATCTCCCTTCAGAACTTCTTAGAGGAAAATTTTTTTCATATCATCACTTTAACAACTCTGCATGAAAAAAATTCATCACTGGGAGATTTGCTAAATTTGAGAAGAAAAAGATCCCGAGAATATCTAACGTCACTTAAATCAACTATATCAATCTAGATTGTTCATGACCCTGACTCTACAAAATGTGAATTCACCAGATTCACAAGAAAGGAATATGAAGATAGAAAAGTACACTTCTATGCCCCTTCTGAGTACAATTCTTTAATTCACAACCTATAGGTCACAACATAACACACAGCAAAAAGTCTCTACTGACCAACTCCGATCTGCCATGAAAAACTTTTTGAGACCAGTTTCTGCTATCAAAACATGATGACAACCACATAATAAAAAAACCACCTCCCTTTAGAACTTCTTAGAGGAACATTTTTTTATCGTCACTTTGACAACTCTGAATGACATTGGGAAACTCGTAACACTCAATTGGTAATGTAAAATTTTGGAAATCACTTTCTGCTATCAAAACCTGACAACAATAGCACTGTAAAAAACCATCTCCCTTCAGAACTTCTTAGAGGAATATTTTTTATATCGTCATTTTGACAACTCTGAGTGAAAAAATTCATCATTGGGAGATTTGTGACACTTTCATATGGTTGCCAGTCACTAAACATTTGAGAACAAAAATACAAACGCCATCACAAAAAAGAAAAAAAAAAAAAGAAAAAGATCCTGACAATTATCTATCAACACTGTTTACACCCCTGACCCAACATTTTGTTAATTCACCATATACAAATTGAAAGAAAATGAGGATAGAAAAGGACACTTCTATTCTCCAGTTGAGCATAATTCCTAGATAAAAAAAAAAAAACAACCAACAGGCCACAACATAACATGTAGCCTATCGCCACTGACCAACTGAGGTCTGCCATGGAAAAACCTTTGAGAGCAGTTTCTGCTATCAAAACCAGACAACCATAGCAATATAAAAAACTATCTCCCTTCAGAACTTCTTAGAGGAGTATTTGTTTATATATCGTCAATAAGAGACCTCTGAATCATAAAATTCACCATCGGGAGATTTGTGACATTTTCATTTGATTGACAATCACTTAATCACTAAATATCCGAGAACAAAAAATACACACTATCGCTATCACCAACCCCCCCTCCCCAAAAAAGATTCCAAGAACTTCCAGTTTCACTTAATTTATCAACTGTATCTTTCAAGACTGTTTTAAGACCATGGTTCAACAGACGGTTAATTTACAACCCCTTGGCGCTCATAAGACCATACGCAGTTGCGCGGCGGGGCGGGCTGGTTTTAAATTGCCAATTTTCTGTCCATTTTTATGGTATCTGGACTTTTTACATATTATAATACTCCAATCAGTTATAAATCTAAAAAGTGCTTACTCTTTGTGTTACAATCATCATCTTTCAGATTTTCTGTCTTAATACTTTCATTTTGTCTATTATGTAACAAAATGTCGTTTTTTTCTCAAAACGTCCGTTTTTGATGTTTTTTGCTCATCTACATTTTTATTTTATTTTTTATTCCGATAAAATTTTCAGGGCTTGTTATTCAATCCATAACCTAACTTTATACATGTGGAAACTAAAATCGATGCATTTATAAGTGACTTGCAAGGATGATTACGTAAGCGAATTTAGAAGCATGATGGGGGTAGGTCATCTCTAACTTTTTTCCTATTCAAGATATCCAAAATCCCAAAAGTATAAAATTTTGTATTGAGTATATCTATCAATGTGCCAAATTTGGTTGGTAAATAAAAAATCCCTTTTACCTTTTACTTTTATGAAAGCTGGGTTTTTCCCCCAAACATGACGGCCGTTACCATGGCAACCGTAGACTTAAACAATAAAATTAAAATTACATTTTACATATGTTTTCCTGTTATAATGCCTTCTTGCTATAAGGCTTTATCAAAAAATGCCATCGTTATTGAGATAGGTTTATAAACCAGCCTCTCCCCTTAAATCAACTAATTAACTGTATCTATCAAGATTGTTTAACATTCTGACTCTTTTATTGACCACGACCACAAGGAAAGAATATGAAGATAGAAAAGGACACTTTTATTCCTCTGTTGAGGATTCTTCCTAACTACAAAACCTTTGGGTCTCAACATAACACGCAGTGAATAGTCTCTACTGAGCAACTCAAGTCTGCTCTGAAAAACTTTTGAAACCAATTTCTGCTACTATCAAAACCGGACAACAATAGCAATGTCAAAATCCATCTCCCTTCAGAACTTCTTAGAGGAATATTTTTTTATATCGTCATTTTCACAACTCTGAAAGAAAAACTTCATCACTGGGAGACCTGTGACACTTTCATTGATCATCATTTAATCACTAAACAATTGTGAAGAAAAAATATGCAGTACTGTTATCACAAAAAAATTAAGTAAAAGATCCAAAGAATTTCCAATGTCACTTAAATGAACTAATCAACTGTATCTATCAAGATTGTTTAAGTCTCTCACTCTTTTATTGACCACAACCACAAGGAAAGAATATGAAGATAGAAAAGGATACTTCTATTCCTCTGTTGAGGATTCTTCCTAACTACAAAACCTTTGGGTCTCAACAATAACATGCAGGGGATAGTCTCTACTGACCAACTCAAGTCTGCTATGAAAAACTTTTGAAACCAATTTCTGCTACTATCAAAACCTGACAACTATAGTAATGTCAAAAACCATCTCCCTTCAGAACTTCTTAGAGGAATATTTTTTTATATCATCACTTTGACAACTCTGAACACAAAAAAATTCATCATTGGGAGACTGGTAACATTTTCATTTGATTGACAGTCACAGAACATGAGAAGAAAAAATAGTTATCACAACAACAAAGAAATATCCCAAGAATTTCCGTCACTTAACTGTATCTATCATGATTGTTCACAACCCTGAATCCATGAATGGTTAATTCACCAGATTCACTCATATGACCTTATGCAGTTGCGAGCGCCGTAAAACCTCTACTAAAAAAAAAAAGGAAAGAATATAAAGATAGAAAAGGACACTTCTACATAATTCCTAAATTCAAAAACCTATGGGTCTCAACATAACATGCTACGAAAAGTCTCTACTGACCAACTCAAGTGTGCCAACAAATCATTTAGAAACCAGATTCTGCTACTGTCCAAACCTGACAACCATGGCAACATCAAAAACCATCTCCCTTCAGAACTTCTTAGAGGAATATTTGCTTATATCGTCACTTGGACAATTCTGAACAAAAAAGAATTCATCCCTGGGAGATTTGTGACATTTCAGTTTCATTGAAAAGGCCATCAAACACAAAAAACAAAAGAAAAAATACTATATATCGCAAAAAAAGAAACACCACCCGTTACTTCACAGATCAAACTTGAAGCAGTTTCACTTAAATTTGATATATCTACTATTCCACAGTAGCAAAACCTTTTGGGAATACCCATTCTTTGACCTGTATCAAATATTAACAACTTCCAAGAAATTGCTCAGATCCAGAAGATTTTCATCATCACCTAAACCAACTGCATCTGTCAAATTTGTGTCACGACATGGCGGAAGCGGGAGGTCTGGGCAAAAAGCATGTTAGTTGTAGAGTAAGACAGCTGAACTCAAAAAGTGACCTGTTGTCGAGGTATGATTGTTTCTTCCCTAAACCCAGGAGTGTGGGGATGAGTTGGGGTAGCCGAATGACACTGTGTAGGCCGGCTACCCGTCTAACACGTTTCAAATCACAGACAGAACTTACAATAGGGTCTGACTGTCACAAAAACATCCCATCAGAACTTCTTAGAGGTAAAAATTTTTTAACATCATCACTGTGAGAACTCTGAATAGGAAATTCATCATTGGGAGACGTGTGACAACCCTAAATCTTTTGTGCTGTTATCAAATACTTTCCGAAACAATCTATCTTCTTCACCCCATTTTTAGACAAATATACACTACCTACTCTTTTGAGAACATACCCGCCACCATCAACAAAAAAAAACATACCTTGTCTTTGTTTTTCGACCACAGCAGCTTTCTCTTCTGCACTTGTTCAGCATACTTCATGGGATTGATGGCTGCTGGGTTGTAATACTTTGGTATTTCCACGCCTGTCTTGGCCGTCGCCTGAAACAATAAAACAAACAATACAGAACTTTTCATACATCTAGGATGTGTATTCCACAAAGCACAGAGACTTTGAAAACACATTTAGGCATTACATCAACAATGTGTTGGACAGGGTCCCCACCAAATCCTGGAAAATTTTTTCAAGACCCCAATTCGAGGGAAAAATCAGGCCGCTGCGCATCAAGAATGATCCTCAAAAAAGCCAATCTATCAATTATAAAAAGTCAAAATGTCTATAAATGAATGAAAATGTACATTTTGTAGTATAGTCTTCAAACAATAGATGACTATAATACTGGGTGACTGCCAACCCAGATTCTCAATTTTCCAAGGGAGGGGCCTCATCCATTTTCCAGGAACACGTTACATAACAATGAAAGTGTGTGCTCCAATTATATCTAATATAATACATGTATATGTTTGTGAGTACACACACACACACATGTAGGTACATTATATCCAGTCAACAACATGTCAGTGTTAGACCTGCATGTGAGCCTCAACCAGATTGTCTGAAAATTTTGCGCAAACCCCCCCCCCCCCCAAGAGCTTTTGTGGGTGTCATAAGGAAGGACTTCCGAGTAACGAGCGACCACCCCAACAAACACAACAAAGAAGAGACCTAACCCTACCCCTACCCCAAAAAAGAACCTGCAACGAGCCTCATGTGAAAAGGCCAGCACAAGTCCAAAATGAAAAACATTTTTAAAATTAAAAAACCACACTCCAAAACAAACAAGGCTTACAAGGAGCATAATATAATGGCCTAGACTACATCTACATATTGCTAGATCTAAATGAACTAAATCTATAATAATAGGGTTTGATACAATAACACAATAGAATTGGAATATGAATCCTCCATATAGATCTAGAAAACTAAATAAATCTAGATCTAGATCCAGAAGAACAAGTGAATAGGATCTAGGAATAGGCCTTGAACTAGAAATCCGCATCCGATTCAGAACAGAGGGGCTCAGCTGAGTCTAGATCTAGATTCTAAATAAATAAATAATTCACGCACCTGATGAAATGCCTTTTACCAACATTAATATTACAGCACAACCTTTGATAGGGTTTGACAAAATAGAATTGGAATATGAATCCTCCATTGAGGTCTATAATGATCTAAATAAATCTAGATCCAGATCTAGATTCTATTATCTAAGTGAGTCGGACTGGAATGAATCCACACGATCTGAACAATTGAATTTGTCAACAAAACGAAATTCAAAATGGCCGCTCGAGCACGAAACTCAAAGTAGATAATTTAGGTCGTCGTCCTTTTTCGTATTCGCATTTCTACTCAGGTTCCGACAATTATGTCGGAAATGCCGACGTCGGCACGAAAACGAAAGTGCCGACAAAGCCGACGAGAGAAAAGGGGGACGCTGGCAGTCGGCCAGTCCGCGCATTACGCACATTGACTGATACAGGTGGGCCTAGCGATAGCATCGGCCGCCTCACGGGTCGCGTCGCGATTGTCGGATTTCAGACGATTGTCGGCAAACATGCAGGTCTACAGTGTGGCACTGGGACCTTGAGAGACTTTGGTATTTCAGTCTGTTCTTACTTATTTATATTTCCCCTCATCATATTAGTTTAGTTTTAGTAAGAGTTTTACGGCACTTGCAACACAATAAGGTCATATAAGTGCCGACTTCATCATATTAGCCAACATAAACTATAGGCCCTATATAAAAAATGAATCCTGTTTTGAGCCTGAGAAAAGACCTAGAACTAGAATATCGACTGTCAATAACCAGTCTGGGTGTCGTGATTCATATAATAAACGTGAAGACGAAAACCATTGCTGCAACTCAAAGAAGAGTAATATTAGTAATAAAACTAGAATGGCTCAAGTACACCTTATTCAGAGTGAGGTGTAAGAACTGGGGGGGGGCGGGGGGCGCAAGATGCAATGACACTGAAAATCTGTCAATCTTGAACAGAAAGCTAAAATATAGATATAAATTACAATCACCCCATCCAATGAAAGGCGAACATTTTAGTTCAATAACAAGGCATAACGGATCCCGATTCCACACAAGGCCTGCATCAACGCGCGCTTTGCAGAAAGCTCTAAAAAATGCTAAAAATTTGCTTTCAAGTTCAGTTTTTGTCCTCTTGCGTTGCCTTCAGCTCCCCCCCCCCCCCCCAATCCCCTTCCACGAGTGTATCTTGTTTTGTTTTTTAAAGTTTTTTACGGCGCTCGCAACTGCATAAGGTCATATGAGCGCGTGGGACACACTAAACTTTTTCAGTTGGTAGAAAATTTTGAACTTTGCCCGGGTGGCGGCCGAAGCCTACTCTTATCGATTTCAGACCACCAAGGGATCTTTAACGTGCACAACTTGCACATGAGACCTCCGAGATTTTTCGCCCTTGTCCGAGAAGGCTAGGTGTAGATCTTTCCTACCAGAAGATCAGGGGTGTGACTGAAAGACAGCAGTAAGAAGAAGCCAATGAGTAGCAGTAGAAAGGCTGCAGAAAGAATCAGGAGCCCAGAGGAGGGGGCAAAGGAGGTGAAGGGGTGGGGGGCAGAAAGAGGAGACGAAAGCAGACGACAGAACATTGCTAGAGAGTAGGAAAGGAGGTGAAAGGAGACACATTTAGAGAAGAAAAATTTTTTGGTCGCTACCCGGATTCGAACCCGGGACCTTTGAATGAGAGGCGAACACCTTAACCTCTAGGCCACGAGAGCCCCCCGAGTGTATCTTATAAAGGAGTCCTATACTTCACAGCGCTCAGACCGCCGGTCCTCACAGGTTCATTGACCGGTCACGAGGGCAAACCTGTCAAAACGCTTGTATAAGTTCTTTTTCTTTTTCTTTTTTCCAGAAAGCGACAGCAGAGGGCAATTTTTAATATTGATTTATTTTCAAGGCGACACAGCGTTCATAATGCATAACCTGCATGTTACAAATGTTGCGTTATCTATCAGTAGTATCAGACTATTACCAGAAAATTTCTGGGCGGTAACGAAAGCAGATCTTGATTTTCTCCGATCGAGCCTCGGTGTCACACATACAGTTCCGCCACAGCGGTTCAATTACGTTTCCTCTTCAGGATTCATCAACCATACAGTCTAGATAGATACAAATTACACAGGCCCTATCCTTTCCCGACTTACCGACCCATCACAAAATTCCCGACTTTTCCCCGACCTATCTCAAAATTCCCGACTTTTTCCCGATTTCCCAACCTGGTGGGGAGTCAATACCCACTTCTTTGAATTCTAAATTTACTCCACTCATTTCAAAGAAACCTTTTTTAAAAACCTCAACAATTACTCCGTCTTTTTAGTAAAGAGTTAATGGGCCTCAAAAATCACTTTTTAATATACAACTCACACGACCATTTTTTGTATTAAAAAAACAACAAAAAAACACGTCCACAAGAACCCCCCCATCAAAGCAACTTCCAAATGAGCAGACAATGACGAGTTGTTGTTTTTTCTCTTCTGGATCTAAAAATAAAACTATCTTTAACCCTATCCGTACGTCATGTTTTACTATCGTATCCAGACGACAAGGGGAATTCTGTGCAACCACTTTCCAAAGAGGAAATTTACTTGTTCATCAGATCTGTACGCTTTGCATAGCAGTCTGTCAAAATGATTTTTTGAGAAATACTGAAAGTTTCAAAGAGATCATCGTACTAGAAGTATTCTAAAATGAGAAGAATACAACCCCGGGGGTACAAAATGACCCCAGGGGGTACAAAATGACCCCAGGGGGTACAGATAGGGTTAAGTGGACATATCGCCCACCACAAAAACTGCTGGAAACTGGTACAGCACACCATGTCGCTCCAACTCGAGCAGCGGAGTTTAAAAATAAAAAGTCAAGACTTTCTAGAGACAGTTGTCAGGGACATCCTTCGCCTGCTGCCGGCACCGCGGTGTCCGGCTGGCTTTCTCTTGCAGGAATTTCCGGCCACAGTCGGTTAACTTTTTTACCCATGCCTACCTCCTTCTGCATGGCCAGCATGGACTGCATGGCTGCCTCCGAGGGTGTGACAGTCATCGCAGAGAGTCCGGCCGTGCTGGTCACCAGATTGGCCATCAGAGGCACCGGGGGTTTCTTGGCCGCCGGCATCTGCTGGGTCCCCGCCGTCTGCGTGCACAGCGCCGTGCCATCTGGGGAGACATGGTGGAGATTTCATTCAGTTTTAGTAAGGTTTTATGGCGCTCGCATCTGCATGGTGGAGATTTTATTTAGTTTTAGTAAGGTTTTATGGTGCTGGCATCTGCATGGAGATTTCATTTAGTTTTTAGTAAGGTTTTATGGTGCTCGCATCAGCATGGAGGAGATTTCATTTAGTTTTAGTAAGGTTTTATGGTGCTCGCATCTGCATGGTGACGATTAGAGGTGTTACAAAAGAGTAACGAACATAAAAAAGAAGGGAAGATAAGGACTATAGATGTATGATAGGAAAGAAGAAGCAAACCACACCAGAGCACCCGCCAACCACCCACGTCTACAGTACAGGCAGGCATCATGACTATCTCATTATAACAGTGTTTCGCTGAGTGCATTTCAAAACGAGCCATGATCTCACATTTAAAAACATAGACATAAAAATCTAAAGCACTGCCGAAAAAAAAAGAGTTGAAATCTTACCATCATTGGTTAGAGCAGAAGACACATCTCCCCCTCCTTCAATGGCTTTGATAAGCTGCTGCCTCATTTTTTCTTTGAAAGTCATAGGTTTTGAAGGGGGCGGTCGCCCAAAGCTGGCCCCTGGTTTTATCACCTTGTCTCCGAATTTTATCACATTCTGAAATTACAAAACAAAAATCAAACTTGAAAGTGTATCAAACTCATTCATTTTACACCTTAAGTATATATGTGCAGTGTTATTCTTGAATCTATACCAAAATGAACAGCGTCTGGGGCAAGCAAAAAAGAAATTAAAAAAAAAAAGTATTACAATACAATACAATCATGCACAATTTTGTCAACAAACACCACTAGAAACTGTCACAAAACTCAGCTATGGTGGCTCATAAGGTGGGTTCATACTGAGCAGGTAATTTTTCTTTCCAAGAATTTTCCTAGAGTATTCAGGCCCGGATTTCTTTTTTCCAAGACAACTAGTCTAACACTCGGAAAAAATGCTTTCGTTCAGCATGCAAAAATAAATTATGGTACTCTTCAGAATGCGTAAAGTTGAGGTTTTCTAAACTTCAAGGAAATATTTTTACAACAGATCTCGTTACAATTTGTTTTTACAACACTTTTCCAAAATGTTGCCAATTTCCCAAAATTCTAAGAGTTTTCCAGTTTTTTAAGACCAGTAGGAACCCTGCATACGAGGGGCATACCAAAAGTTTTTTTTACCTGACCATGAAGGAATAACGGTAGAAAGCTGAAATTTGGTACTAAGCTTAGTCTTTCTTTCTGTAGTCGCCTCCCAGAGTTATACATGTTTGCATCTGTGTATGACCTTGAAAAGACCTTGAGAATAGAGGACCTCTTTATGTCAGAAAACCAGCCCTCTACCGCTTCTTTGACCTCATCATCACTTTTTTTTACACCAAAATTGTATAACAGCATAGGATGTGCAATCAGTTCCATTTATGGCATGCATCTCCGTAAAAAAATCCAGTAGTTGCTTGCCTTGCAAGAACAAATACTTCATTACTGCCCTATGCTTAATTTTCTCCATTCTTATGTCGAAACTGGTGAACAACGTACCCCCATTCACTTACAGTGTGCTGGTGGTAAAATCAGTAATCTGAAATTCCCAAAAATTTACAAGCACTCTAAGAAGATGACTGTTGGCTTTCACCCCAAATTTAAGCTTTCTACCTTTATTCCTTCATGGTCAGGTAAAAAACTTTTGGTATGCCCCTCGTAAGTGATTTTTCATCAAAATATAGAAAGCCACACTAGTAACACCTCCGCAAAAGGAGCATGTGAGAAAAATGTGAAAGTTGCACTAACACCCAACTTTGACGTCAAGTTACGGCAGCAAAATATCATCCTGTGGGCCTCAATTGGAATGCAAGCCCCAAGTTTGAGACACTTGTGAGTATAACATTAAGGAGAATAAATCAACCACAGGTCAATTATATAGGAAGCTGGTAAAGCACACATCACTGCCCTTCAACAAAATAAAAATGTACCACTATTATCAGTTCCACTCACTTTAGGACTTGAGCTTCGACTCCTATTTCTTCGACTGCGCTCCCTACTCCTGCTACGGTCTCGACTCCGACTGTGGTCTCTGCTCCTCTCCCGCCGACTTCTATCTCTGCTGCGACTTCTGCGCTCTTTGTGTCGGTCTCGCTTGTCTCTGCTGCGGCTTCGGCTGCGTTTATGTTCCCGTCGCCTTCTGTGTTCCCTATCCCGAGACCTGCGGCGATCCTTTGAGCGTGAACGATGCGACTTGCGTTTTCTCTGTAACCCAAAAATTCATTTCTAGATTTAGAGAAAAAAATTTTAATGCAAAAAGTCTCAAAATATTCGAGATGAAGGAACAGTTTTCTTTACCCTTACAGGGGACAAAAAAACATAGTCATACATCAAGTAGAGGCATAGACAAATTAGTATGATATTGCAGACTTCATTCTACATGAAATACGGACCAAAGAATTTAATTTGTTGACAGGATTGTAAATCATCATTCTAAACCAATAAAAACAGCTTTACTCTGGTCTATAGTGGGCCGTATATGTTTTGTTACCACACCATGGCTAAAATTAGGAGTTTTCCTCAATGTTCCCCCCCTCCCCCCCACTCAGAGAGCTCTAGTTCTATCGGAATACTTGGTGGGCCTATGCACCATCGGGTCATAAGTTGGTTTCAAAGTTGAGGCAACAGCCAATTGCATATGTAAATAAGAGAACAAGGGAAATGATAGGAACTAATGGTTACAGATGTGAGCAGAAGCAATAAGCACGCAACATATAACACAGAGGGGTGAACCGAATCCTGTATGGAATTTCTTCAGAATAGTCAAAGACTTTACATTTTTACCTTACCCATTGCTAGCACAGCTAGTCAAGGATAGGCTCCTTTCAAATTAATGAGCCATTTAACAATCACACAACACTTTTCCCAACCATCTCTTCCCTGTCACCCAGTCCAAGACTGGCTTTTATTTCTGCTTCCCTGCACAGATATACTCACATCTTTCCTGTGCCCGCGGTCACGGGATCTTGAGCGTGAGTGGCGACTACGATCTGACGACCGTCTGCGCTTCCTCCTGGACGGAGATCTGGATCTTGACTTGGATCTGCTGTCCCTAGCCTGTAAAAACCCAGCAACAACACATCAAACAAAACCGTGATCGCAATTGAAAAAGAGAAAAAAACAGCTTATGCTGGACAACATACAAATTTAGAACAGTCTCAAGATGTGGATTAAACACAAAAGCTACGAAAGAACAAAACCGTTCAAATTGCAGTTCGTTATAAAAGCATGAATTATTCGTTCATAACGTTTGTAAAATAGGAAAAAGAAGAAAATAATATTCTTAGGTACTTGTACAAACATCTATCAAAAAAGAGTTTTTATGAACCAACTCCGTAAATGAAACAAGATGAAGCATAGCCATGCAGCTTGTATGTCTCGCATGCTGCAAATATTCTATTTTAAAGAAACTTGACTTTGGATAAAATGAGAAAAGGCACTGCAACTAAAGAATCGGGATGTTTATATTCATTCACCTCATTCTGTGAAATCGGTTCACCCCTGAGTCCGTTTCATTTGACTCAATCCGGCTAGTGAGGATTCAGAACCATGTACATGTACACATAATACATCTCCCATTCTACAACAAATATGGACAAGTACACAAAAGACAAATGAAGGTCTTATTCCTGTCATGTTCTCTTTCAACAGTTTGAACATGACATCCACAATCACACATCTGGTCTATAAATCAAGTATAAAAGAAGAGAAGGAACACATTTGTTGTGTCTTGCTCAAGTATTACCCAGAATAGCTTCACTGATTTCAGATTTGTTTCCTATTGTTAAATCATCTGGGAAACTTATTAAGAAAGAAATTTTCGCATACACAATTTGTGAAAGAATCCTCATTAATTCACTTCCATTTTTCTCCAAGTTTAAAAAAAATCCAAATCAGACAATGCTATCTACAATACTTACAGCAAGTTTTGGAAACCAAATAATCACATGCACATATTTCTATGTTGTTTACAAAACGACCATGTGAAACAAATTTAACCGAAAGAAATTTGGCTCTCAAATGTACATATTACTTCAGCTCCTTAAAACAATTCTTACAATGCACCTGTAAATTAACACACTTGTTACATATGAAGCACAAGGAAGACTTGTGATACAGAATGTGGGCATTAAAAAAATGCTATTACACCACTCGAGCCTCTTTGCTAACTTACAGAAAGGTAAAAAGAACATGATGACTAATGAAAAGGATGGCGCAGGACGCGCCTCACAGAGCTAAAAAAATAATAATTTAGAAAAGTCTTTTTCCTCTGAAAACAATCGAGTGTCATCAAATACTGCTACATCACACTGATACTAGTGATATCTACACTATGCCCACCTATACCAACAGTGTACCTGTATTCAATTTCCCTAAATGTTATATTTTCATGCCCCTCACACCATCCAAGAAAATTATAACATCACCTACTGAATGCACAACAGCTTGCATCATTTAAGTTATCAAATTTATATAATTCGCTTAAAATGTAGAACCAAAAGAAATGACAGAATAATTTGTCTGCGAATGAAATGAGCAGGAAACAGGAATCACGGGTATAATAAAGAAGACATTATTATATATATGAGACAAAAGTAAGACATGTATCACATGTGCCGGGGCAAAGCCTGGTAGAAGCATGAGAGTGGGTGGGTACGCCCTTACTTACGCTGGAGGGCTGCAAGGCGCAAGCCCTACTTACACTGTCAAGGCATCTGGCAGCATAGATCAGCTTTACGGACCCATTTTACAGGTCCGCTCAGTAGGAGAGCTCTTTTGTGTTGGTGAATAACCTAGTGTATATAGCAATAAGAGGTCAATCTTGGGTTCTTGTTTCAAATGTGGTAACAAAAGTTTCACTCTTTGGGTCTCCGGTCTACTTTTCAGGTTCTCGACCCTCAAGGCCCCTTCAAACCGCGTGTCTACTTTTCATTTCTGCATCAGCAGTTCAACATGAGGTGCCAACAACCCATTTATATACCTTTTGACTGATAGATGGACTTTCAAAATAAACACCCAAAATGTAGGGGAGGGGTGTCACAAGCTACTACAAGTCGAGTGTACTTTTCTTTGACTCACAATTCGAGAGCCCTCCTCCAGTCAGCACACTTTCTTTACAATTCCCAGTGAAACACAAAAGGAGAGCCATATCACAATCAGTGAGTCTTAATCCATTGCCCAAGACACGTGATGGGGTGGGGTGGGGGTGGTGGTGGTGGTGGGGGGATATCATTAAGCGCAGCTACCTTCGATCTTCAAGGCACAAGTCTTGAGGAGAACTACCTTCAGAAGCAAGGTCAGGATCTACGTTCATGGTCCCCCACTACATCTGAAATTATTAACCCCTCAAAACTCTTGAAATCATCTGACTTTCTACTTGAATTGTGACTGCTCTGACTAACATTTAAAAGCAACTACAGGTTGCTCTTTCCCCAAAACAAAACAATCTTTAAAATGAATACAATACTGACAACACGTAAACCCTCAGATTACTTGAACTGTTCAAGGTAAATTCTAAATTCTTGGTACTCAAACAATTCCACAAACGACCTGCGGAATTCTTTCCAATTAATATTTATCAATCTGGACTACTATCTAGGCCTATGCGATAGGTAATCATAGACGATCAATACAGGAGACCCATCGACAGCTGAGAGAAGAGTGAATCTCAACAAGTTAGTCACTACAATTTTGTTTAATTCGCAGCATTAAACCAAAAGAATTTCACCTACAAATAAATACAAATTTACTCCCTTGACAAAAGATATACCTTTTTTGAGGATCCTGAAACTTCTGTAGACTTCGAGTTCTCTTTCACACTGTTGTTTTCCGATTCAACCTTGTTCTTTGCAGCATCTGTGTTATTAGAGAAAAATGGGAAATGGAAATAAAATCAAAGGCATTAGAGAAGAGTCTTGACAGTAAATACTTCTAAATTAAATAGACAACTTAAACCAAGTTCACATCATTGAATTGTTTAGAATGTCAAATTATATTGCAACATTCCAATCCTTTTAAAAAAAGGAAATATTATTATAATATATATATATTGCACCTTGTTTAAGTCTTTTTACTCTTTAAAAAGAGTTGAGCAAATCAACTTACTTGGAATTTCAGTACTCCAAAGCAAAGTCCCATTTACCCAACATTAACTATGAGCAAAGCATATATTGCCAAGGAATGCCACATTAAAAGTAAAATGACCAATAACGCAACAGGGTAGCCCCACTTACCACGTCTTGGAGATGCATCCGATTCAGAATCTGAAGCCGACGACTCGCTGCCCTTCTTTTTCTCTTCCTCCTCATCCTCCGAGCTGCTTGTGTGACACCTGTTTTTGCGCCGCACACCTGGGGGCAGATGGGACTCATCCTCATCATCTTCCTCCACACTTCTTTTTGCGTTGTCTGAAACAACCGGCTTTGTGTTCAAGCTGCTGACCGACATGGTCTCCGATTCACTTTGAGGACCACCAGAGGCACAACTGTCTTCTTGTGACATACTGGACGGATAACTCGACCGTGCAGACGAGGGATTCCCAGATGTAATAGCACTCTCAAAGTTTTCCCACTCAGACTGGACACGCGTAGAACTGGATTCTCTATCTCTTGATTTTGAAATCACCTGTCAACATACAGTAACAACAGCAATTTCAAATTATTTTCGACATTGGTGGATAGAAAAGTAATAGAACATTCTCTTATAGTATTTATTTTATTTCATATTTACCCTCTTTTTTTTTTAGTAAGTGTTTTACGGCACTCGAAACACAATAAGGTCATGTTCCGAAGATTAGAGTTTTAGTAGAGGTTTTTAGGCGCTCACAACTGCATAAGGTCCTATGAGCGCCAAGGGGTGGATGTCAACAGAGAAGTCCTTACAGGGAATCAGACTTTTCTGCTCACCTCTCTAGCTTCAACAGCACAAAGTCTGCTTCAACTATATAGGCACCCCGGAAATAGTGGGTCACAAGAGTGTGACAAACATACAAAAGAAGTAGAGGAAAATGACAATAGTAAGGATAAGGATAGATAAAGCAGCAGTTCCCTGTTGTAGATCAGGCACAGTTTTATGAGAGTGACATTGATGAATCAGCCAATTTACAATTCTACTGTGCATGAACGAGAAATGTTCCCCCTTTGGGAATGGCCTTAAACTAAAGACACTTTAGTCAGTGGCATCGTCGCAGGGGGTAGAAGATTAGAGGTGTTAGGAGTTACAAGAGAGTAACAAACACAAAAAAGGAGAAGGGGAGAAAAAGATGATAAATGTTTGATAGGAAAGAAGGAGCAAACCACACAACGTTTAAAAAGTGAAAGTGGCTGTGACTATTACAATACAATTTTGACACATTGCCGTTGATAGTAATTTAATACCCGGTGCCCATTAGACGTAGGTGGATCGGTTCGGTTTTTGGCGGCTCCAGTGCCCACTACTACAACTATTCACTTTTGGTAAATTTTTACTTTCACTCCCGCACATAGATGCACTGCTTTGGAGATTCTACTGCAGTATTTTTCGACTTTTTTTTTTACTCATGCACACTTTTTTTCTAGTAGTATTTTGCATGCTGAACACTGAATATATGGCCTTCATTTTGGTATTTTTTAAAAACTAAAACACCCGTTTCATGTACACGTTTGATATACTTTTTTTCTAGTAGTATTGTGCATGCTGAACACGAATATGGCCTTCATTTTTGCCACAAATCAATAGTTACTGAGTTATTAATGTTTGAAGACAGAACTAGGACCAGTGGCGTAGTAATATTTGACTTGTTTTTAACAACATGGGGGGTTTCAGGGGGGCATGCCCCCCCTGAATTTCACAAGGATTTGATGTTTTGGCAATTAGGATTGATATTTACAAGAAAACAATTGATTCGCAAGGGTTTTAGTGGCCACACGTGTGTTCTGCAGCAAAAATTATGGCAGTTTAGCCTTCATATCAGTGCATCTGTGTGTGGGTGTAAAAGTAAAAATTTACCTTCATTTTTTCCGCAATTATAGTTAATGAGTTCTTGGTATTTGAAAATCGGAGTGGTTATCCGTACAATTGTGCGAACAACTCTGTCTAGTTTAAGGTCTGTTCTTGGTCCAGAAATAGTGCAGAACGAGTTCGAGAAAGTCAGTCACTATCGTTCCGATCCGGTCCAAAAATTCACCAGCAAACGGGGACCAACTTTTCGGCACACGGAAGCCTGATTGGCATTGCGGCTGGATTGTACTTTACCGGACCACCTGTCTCAGCCCGTGATTACTACGCACGCCTAGCCTAACTACGCACTCATAGTACTAGAGTACATCCTGTGGTGCGATATACAGTAAGCGATCTTTTGTGGACATCTCTGGAAGTTACAGGTCGATCTTCATGATTTTTTCACCAGAAGTTAGAAAAACTTCCTCTCTATACGGTGTAGCGTATTACTGTAACAGCAGTTTAAAATTTCTATATGTTGTGGTGGTGTTTGTTTGGTAACGTGTGTCTGGTTTGGTGCGCAAGGTTTCTGGTTTGGTGCAACATATCGTCTGGTTGGGTGCGCAATAGTACCATGTTTACAGCTTTAGATCTAGATCTAGCTCTTTTCTGACACTTTTCATCTTTCTCTATCCTTGCCTTGTCTTCTTTTCCTTGCAAGAAGTTCCTGTACTGACCATAACGGAAGGCCAAGGTCAATTAGGCGTGTTCTTTTTGGGAGCTGTGCACCCCCTAACAGGAGATTTCCTTACACCTTGTGTATGTGTTTTGATAATGGATAAAAAGAAAGGTGCTGTGGACACAAGAAGGGGAAAGAAGAAAACAAGAATAAGACTATACCTAGACTAGTATTTTAGAAGGAAAAGGACAAAAAAGAAGAAGAAAAAGACGTGAAAAGAAGAAATTGAAAAAGAAAGGTGCTGTGGACACAAGGAAGTGAAAGAAGAAAACAAGAACTAGACTATACCTAGACTAGTATTCTTTAAGGAAAAGGGCAAAAAAGAAGAAGAAAAAGACATGAAAAGAAGAAATTGAACATTTTGGAGATTATATTTCCATATTAATTAATTTTGACATGAATACATTAACTTATCATCTTCCAATGGCAATATAATGCATCCAAATGGAAGGAAAACAGTCTGTTCCAGTGCACAATGCAGGTCATAAAGAAATAACTTAATAAGTAAAACAAACAAAGGGCCTAGAAGCCACACTATCAATGCCAAATAGCAAAAAAGCCGATGTTGCGCACTGAAACGGACTGCCCAAATTTGGTCCGCTTCAGTGCGCAACCCTATCTGGCATGTTCCTGGGCATTAAGAAGCAGCCTGCGATAGTATTTATCGATTCTAGTATACATTCTACGATACATTAGAGCTAGATTAGCGAGATGTGCTAAATAATCGACTACTCAAGCGCTTAGTTAGTAAATTGACCGATACCAGAACGGTTACGAAAATCATTAATATGAAGGGGCAAAACTTTCCGACACCGTAGAATCACGTGTGTTGACAGGAACCTCCAAAACGAAAGTGAAATAAGCTACATTCTGTGCATGCTCACAGAAAGTGACCTCGTTTTCGCTGTTCTTATCCAAAACAAAGCAGGAGACCGGGGGTTGCGCACCCAAACAGTAGCGCGGTGATGCGGGCCTACTCTAGCGTGTAGTCGCTCAGCGGGACCGCGTCACTTTATCGATCGATATCTCGGCCAAGAGACGCTCTACGAGGTCAAGATAACTTGCAAAGTCATTGGTCACTATTTATAACTTTTGGCCTGTAATTGACTACGTCATTTTCCATATAAGGCTAAGGCATAAGGAACACTGGAATTTTCCATTGAAAAGGGTCAGCGTCTATGCCCTTTAGTTTATATAGGGCCTGCGCGCTTCCCTGTCGAAGTAGGTCAGCCTTATATATAGGCCTAGGGCGTGCGCGCTTCCCGGGTAGCCCGGCTCACGCCCTTTATATCTCTGCGCGCTTCCAGGGTTAAGTACGGCTAGCCTCTTCCTATTGAATATTGGGTGCTTTTTCGGTAGTTCCCATCCCCCTTATTTGAACCCAGAATCTAGAATAGATCTAATCTAGATCTTGAGACAAAACCGGAGAATAACAATTGCGGGGTGGGAACTAGATCTAGATCTAGTCTACCGAAAAATATTGTTGATAGCCTAGTAGAGTCAAGTGAGCATGTCCACACTGAGGACGTAGGGCCGACGGTAGGCCTACGACACGAGCTAACCTCAATCGTTGAGAGTCAATGAGTCAAAATATTGGAATTGCATTATCAGGACAATATTGATACCTGCTCAGTATTTGATGTGTTTGATAATTCATCATCATAACTTGACAACAGATCCATCAGGTAATAAACAAGGCAACACAAAGGTTAACCCATCGAGACGTCAATTGTCAAATTTAGTCAAAGACAACAAAATGGCGTGCGTATTTTCGGTCGAGGCAGGCAGGCACCATTACCAACGTCCCAGATTTCTTTTCGCGATTATTTCTCAAGAGATTGTGTCTTTATCCGCTAAAATAGGACACCGTGGCGGCGTTAGCCTAATATTGTTTTTAAAAATTAAACATAATTCTTAACAACTGGGTGCTGGCAACGAGATTGTTGCCTATATTATACCTATAACTGATCATACTGACGAATAAAACTTATAATAGATCTAAATCAAAGTTTATTGGTATTTGAAAACACGTAACTACTTTTCACTGTGGGTTGCATTGACTATCCCATTATGATATTATCCTGTTCATATCTCCCTGTAGTCACAAAAAGCATACTAAATTCATAGATCTTGTTGAAACAAATGGACATGCATGTAAAAAAAAAAGCATGTATTACCAATAGGCTATCCTTCACCCTTTGCACCATACGTATTACAGGCAAAGGAAAAGCAATTTTCATCCGCAGTCTCGGCCAAGCTCTTGTAGATTCATGTATTTCCAGCTGTATATCAAGCCTCCTTTCTTCGACATAATTATCGTATGTTTCCACTATAAGAAGGGACCGTGGCCTACTCCTTTTTAATCTTTGAGGATTCCAGTACTGATCTTAACTAACTGTCGTGTACTTGTTTCTTATTTGGCCAACAAAAAACCAACGGTCGCTATCTGAGACAGAAATTGGCTAAATCTGGGGATACATTACAGTACATTGGTTTTTAAAAAACATCAAACAAAAATAAAACAAAACAACTCCTTAAATAAATGTGAGGCAGGGTGCCGTGGTGGTGATGGTGAGATCCAAAACCATGGTGACTGAAAATAAACATAAATTAATTTCAATGTTTTAACTTTATACTATACTAGGCCAAATCTATGTAGTCTGTTGGCGTAGTCACAGTGCAGTTAGCCATGAATCCTTTGTGTTGAAGGAATTAATTTACTTTATTTTAATTATTTTTGTTTTGTTTTGTGTGGGGGGTTTTTGCATCATAATAGTCGATCAAGGCTTTTTCTGTCGCGATCGCTATAAAGATCAGCTGATCGAAATCCAACGTTTTTATTTATTCATTCATTTATTTTTTTATTTTTTTTTTTTTTTTTTGGGGGGGGGGGGGTGTACCAGATCTAGATCTAAACTGCTTTACAGCGCTCGCAGCTGCATAACGTCATATGAGCGCGCGGGACACAAACTTATTCAGTTGTACAACATTTTTAATTTTATCCGGGTGGCGGCCAAAACCTAGCCTAGTCTTGTCGATTTAGGACCACCAATTATAGGGATCTCTAACGTGCACAACTTGCACACGGGACATCCGCGATTTTTCGCCCATATCCGAGAAGTCTCCAATACCTCACCTCCTGATTAAGCGAAGAATGTAACAACTATACACGACATGGAGATCAACATCAACAAAACAGAGACAACGAAAGTAAGCAGAAAGCCAGGACCACTCAGGATACACATCAACAACAACAGTCTCAGACAGGTCCAAAAATTTAAGAGTCAGTCGAACCTGCCTTAACGGAAACCTGTATAAAACGAAAACCTGTCTTAACGGAATCTCCCCGCTCCCCCCTTGATATATTCCTCTTTAATTACCTGTATAAAACGGAAACCTGTCCAACGCGGAAACGGAAAGAAAAATACACTCCCTTCTGAGGATTTCACCTGTCTAAGAAGACGGAAAATGCTTTGCCCGCTCAGCCCTGATTTGAAACAAAACTCGCAAATTTGGTTCCGCTGGCTCTAAACTAACGCTATGGTCATGCGGCTGGCCGAGGAAGAGGAGTACCGTAGGGGTACAATTTGGGGGTAGATGTTACCCCATCATGTGAGCCCTGAGCGACGCAGATAGTCAGTGTAGTGTGGGTGTGAAATCTCACGACTGTCCGTGAGAGTGCTCGAGTAGCGAGCACCTAGGCCTACGGAAACTTTCCTGGATCCAGAAGCCTGAGGTGTGAAATTAGACCAATGCCTGCCGCCCTGATCGTACGGCCAGCTGAGAAAAGAGTTCCTCGACGAATCGTTGTTACAATGATGGCAGTTAAGGGGTGGCATTGGTGGGTGGGGCTAATTAAGGGTGGAAGCAAAGGAGATGTTCAAACGTTTCTGCTTTTAATAGGTCAAACAGTGGTTCTATGAAAGGCAAGCACTAGTGGTATAATTGGATAAGTAAGACTGACGCATGTCAATATCAGACAGGATAGCAATTGAGAGGTGTGAAGTTTTGACCACTGCTCGCCGATCGGACAAGCGATCCTTGATCCCACCGGCTGGGCCTTTG